GGGTCTACAGACAAATGTACCACGAACCACGCATATGAGAACAATTGAAACAAATTAATTGGATAAAGTTTTAATTACCTTAAACTTCATAATCCTTTACATCCGATCATAACTGTGACATTTTTGTTGGATATGGCGATCACACAATTTTAATTATATACATAGAGAGTGTGTGTAGTAGTTGTTTTGAGCAAAATAATGTTCTAATTTTGCTTGTCACGTTAGGTACTTCAAATAAAGTTCTTTATCCGTTATTCTTGAATAATTCTTCATCACGCGGTAAATCCATTTGAGTTCAATAAATTTGACTGGCGCAAAGCACCAAATGATATTGCTTCGGAACGCTTCAGATTAACGCGAATTATAACATTCACTTTTATAACGACGTAGGTAATAAAAATCTTGTATGTCTTACTAACCTATCATAGCACATTTCATATCTGTGATACGCGGGCATAAAGTACCACTTTATGCCCTAGGGCATTAAGTATCACCATAGTAACTCATTTATACTTAATGACAAAACAAACAAATATTTGCAGGTCATTGAAAATTAGAAACGTCAATTATTAATTGTCAATACCTACTAAATCACAAGATTGGCCTTATTTCGTATAGTTTCTGGAACTTCTTGGTCATTCACGATGAATTGAATTATTTAAAATACGTTTGACGTTTCGATGGTTTCAATCACATTAACAAATTTGAACCACGCATACTCGATCAAACATAATGAATTATTTTGTAAACGAATTTTGACGAAGAAAACTATTTGTAAAACATAAAATTGTGTATGTACCACGGGCATAAACTGATGTTTATACTCTCGGGCGACTAAAAAGCTCTCGGGCCGTAGGCCCTCGAGCTTTTTAACTCGTCGCCCTCGAGAATATAAACATCACTATTATACCCTTAATACATAAATAACTATTAAAGCACTATCAAAATAATCTATAACAACTTTACAACCACCCACATTGACTGTCTTTTACAAAAAAAACCATTCATTACGACTGACTGTCAAACATCAAAAAGTCCCGTTTTCCATATGCTTCGCCTTTTTAAAACATTCTTCTGATTTTATGAAGCGATAACGAACTTCTTTTCCAGGTGCTCCTAATATTTTTCAAACGTAATTCAACTTTACAATTACAAATCAAAATAACAAGGCGATTGTTACAAAATTAAACAATAATAATTCTGATACAGATCATCATTGACCTCGAATTCAAATGATATGATCGAAATTGTGTCCAATCTAAATTAGTGATCACATTTAACGTTTAACATAAAAATCACACACTACGGACGACGACTGTCGAAGTGAATTGACAAGATACTGCAGATCCGCAATCACTCAAAAATCAAACGATACACGACACAACAGTCGAACGAATGGGGGGCATTCCAAACCTTGGCGTGGCCACATCTTCCTGTCACAAGCTTTCTTTAACACAGAGAACGCGCAGTCCCTAGAGAGAGAATTCGAGATGTCCATGGAAAGCCAAAAATGGCAAAGGGAGAGTTTTGTTTCTTTTCCGTTTTGATGAAGCCCCTTACGTAAATGGGTGTAAAGTTGACTTTTCGTTCACCATTGACACGGTCCTATCGCAAATAACAAAAAAATTAACGATTTAAGTCGACACAGTAACTACTGGAAATTGTCGACATCTTGGTTTTTTAAATGCTCAATTTTATTGCGAATTCAACGCATTTAAGCTTTTTATACCTGTTTGTCATAATTTTTTACATATGTCAATTTTTTCTAAATATTTGGAGATGCAAATCCAGAAACGTTACATATAATCATTGAATTTATTATAAATTCAATCATATAATACCTACTTAAAACATACGCTTGTTATTGGGATCCAATTAGGCTTCTCAATATGACCGACTTTGACATAATTGATTGACATTTACGGTATAAAGTAAAACAGAATGGTTAGCTGCTTTGATTATATACCATGCGATCAAAAATGAGTTGCTGTCGAGTCACCTTTGGAATTTTCGTTTACATGGGAAATCGTACTTAACTTGAACTTCCAAAGGCGACTCGACAGCAGCTCATTTTTGATCGCCCGTTACTAGAGGCGCTTTCTTTCGGCTACTTCGCGATCATGATTTCAAGATCGTGATTCGTAGGATCACGTTTTACGAAAGAAAGCGCGAATTTAAATCAAAGCATGGTTATAAGTTTAGGGAGTACACATTTGCATTCGAATTAAGTATTTTTTGTTTGGATTATGAAAATAATTTAAATACAGGTGGAAGTACTTGCACGATTATGCTCCTCTTCAGTTACAAATATTGACTAAACTAACATTTGAGCAAAAATATCCTTGCATTTATAGGTTAGGAATTTGTGATCATAAAACTTTTATGTTCAGTTTGCTTTGTTTACGATTTTAGCAATCATGATCACACTTCGAAAGAACCTGATTTGACAATCCAAACGCGTTTGGATCATCGAAAGAAAGCACCTATACAGGGTGGCAATTTGAAAACTTACCACCCCCCGTGTCTTTGTAAATAAACGAGATATTTAAAAAAATCAAAATCCGTTTCGGTAATTCGGAGGGGGAATCACAATGGCATAGTTTATTTTTTGATTTGCACGATAATTACTAACCTAAATGTAATGCTATTTTTTGCACTCCTTCGTTCTAAATCGCGTTTTCCCAATAAAACACGAACGTCAGGAACGTCAATTTTACAATTGACTATCTACTTTCGCGCACTAGTGCCTAAAAATTCAACGAAATTATCTATTTAGTGCGGATCATAAACTAATAAGTAGTATGATGGAAGAGTAAAAATGAAAATATAAATACATACACTTTACATCATTCCCTGTAGTACACGGGCAAAAATAAGCTTAAACCAGAAGTTTTGAACAATAAATTGACATTTTAAATTTTTAGATTTCTACTTTATCGGCATAGAGGACTTGATTTTTCAAAAGGATTATAATGTCGCAAAAATCTCGCGAAAAGGATTTGAATTTATGTAAATTCGATTTAACTAATCCGTGCAAAAAATAGAATACATGTTACGTGCGTGAACAGTATTTGCTTGATTCGCGCGAGATGCGTCGCTCGTGCGCGTTGCGCACTCGCGCCGCCAAACTTCGCGCTCATCTGCAAAATAACTGTTCCCGCACTAATAATGTAAATAACTATGGTATGGTTGGAAAGCATTTTTTCAGAGCTTTCCAACGACGTATCACGCATCACTATTTAAGATTTAAAAGTTGTGGTGGCTTGGGCGCAGGGGTTGGAGGGGGTGCGTCGCCAACTATGTCATTGTGCTTCCCCCTCCGAATTACCGAAACGGATTTTGATTTTTTAAAATATCTCGTTTATTTACTAAGACATGGGGGTGGTAAGTTTTCAAATTGGCACCTTGTATAAGCTCCTTCCTAGTCTTTTATTTCAATGCCGTCGACATATTTTATTCTAGTATAGCCGTATTTTCGGTAGGGCCGGTATATAGCTACCTGCATTGTAGGTAGAATGAAATCTAATTTAGAATATACGCATCTTGTTTTTGGAATCCATATATTACAAACTGAATAGCAGTAACATTGGAAAGTTGCAAAAGAAATTCTATGTTTTATAAAACGTCAACAATGAGCTACCCTAGAAATTATAAATCAAACCAGTGCGTTCGCAAGAGTATTTCAGTTGACTTTTTTTTTCATTTTTAGTTACTTTAAAATTAAACCAAAGGTAGTGCTTGCCTTGAACGTGCCTCTTCTCTTATTGCTTGGTTTCACATACCTATACGACCATTGTTACAAAAATTGTTACATGAATTTTAGGCTATACTTATCTTAAACTTCGCTTTCAAGGGCCAGATCGCTATTAGCATTGAATGTATAACTATTGTTATTGGAATTGAACATGTACTACCACAGATTTAAATATTTAAATTCACAGATTACCATTCAGGGTGCTACATTACATATTTAACAGGATATTATTGAGTCTCACGAATCGCGCACCCTGTATACCAAAATGTTGAAATTAATTTGATACACTTTTTTACCAGAGAATGTATCTATTGAGACCATACTAACATACTTTTACTACTTTGAATTGATAACGGAAAATCCGTGTTACATTAACAGTAGGTATAGGTAATCTTGCCACCACAGATAGACAAGGTAAGTACTAACTTTGTTTATTCACAATGGTACTAATTAGGTACTTAGGTTTTTAAGGATCCATTTTCCCGCTTTTTCAAATAAATGTCCGCTAGAAAAACGGTAAGTATTTTGGAAAATCAATTATTGTTTAATACATTTACGTTGCCAATCGTAAAATCCACAAAAATCGCATACGTCACAAATGTGGGGCAAGCCAGAAGTTTTATAAAGGTAGGTAATTCAGTTCAGAGGATTTTCCCGTGAGATTGCGCGAATTTTGTTGCGCATGTCATAAATTTAAAAGTCGGTAAAAGTATGAATAAGTTTTATTCGCTAGTTACACCTTTCCGTAAAAATAAGTAAATTTTTAAATGAAAATGACTACAAAATATAATCAAGATAGTGAAAAGTCAGAAAAAGTTTGCACTGCCGCTCATCCTTACACTTGCGACTGTAGCACATGCATCACTAATTTAGGCAACTTACCTATCCTAATGAAAGTAATTGAAGAACAAGAGAACATCGACCAAACTACGAAACCATCAACTAGTTCGGAGAAGTCGAACCCTGTTCAACCTTCATCGTCAATGTCTTGTAGCAGCTGCGGTAAAAATTTTGTACATAGAGGTGATTTAAATAAACATTTAAGAAAACACACGAAAGAGCAGCCATATGTATGCATGGTATGTAAGAGAAAATTTGCTCACAGCTCAAATTTAAACAGACATTTACAAGTGCACGATGGCACAAGGCCATTTTCATGTAAAACGTGTATGAAAACTTTTGGAAGAAAAGATAAGTTAGAAGCACATAAAAAAACCAAACGTTGCAAGAATTTATCTGATAAGAGTATAGAATAGGTGGTAATTTATTATTAGTATGATTAATATAACAAAGAATTGTCACAAAGTTATTTAGTTTGTTTCTATTACATTTAAATTATAATTAGTATTTGCACTCGCATTTGCATTATGAGGTCGTTGTAGTGGATGTGATAAAATCTTCGCCATAGCACAATGAAGGTCTGATGCATTGCGAGATACTGAAAACGCGTACGAGGAACCTTTCATATCAATCGACTGAAGACATTTGAAAATTTGTTCGCAGTTGTTACTAGAATCGGGGGGTTCATGAGTCATTACAACGTCAACAGTGCAGTATGACGAATTAAGAAGTCTTTCTACCTCAGCCGTTTTCGTTAGTTTTGGTACAGAATAAGACCGACCGTATAATAGAACTATGTGCACAACACAACTTGGTGGATTCTTCAATGAAAAACTAAGGTCAAGTTTATCGATTAGTATGTCAAACACTTTATTTAAATCAAATATATCTTCTGTTTCGCATGGGATATCAGTGATACTTCGTACAGATGCCAATATATCTTGTATCGAATTTGTAAAATCGTGCACCCACGTTGCCGAGTATTCATCCAATTGAATAATTGCAAATTGATGTTCCGGATTTATTTGAGATTTGTTATGCAAAAATATTTTCAATGCGTGTTGCAACATGAACAAAGGGGAGTAGGTTTTCTTTGATGTTAGTTCAAAGTTGGTGCAATTTTCATCGTATCCACGATCTAAGACAATTATAATCTTCTCGGGTACATTGTAACTTGGCAGGCGGTCATCATCGAGAGCTGATGGTTCATTGCTTGTTGGATTTGGATTTGCTGTTGTGATTGCAATTTCCTCCATGGACGTTGAGATATCATCAGCCAAATTTACATGTTCAATATTTGATTGTGACATTTTCAAATTATGGTAGTTCACTAATAGTTACTGGTATTTTACAGTTCAGTACCAGTTGTTTTTTCTCGACGCTGAACTAATCAACTCACAGACCATCAAATCAACTAACAAATTAACAAAACATAACATAACCGCTATAAAGGAGCGGCTTTCCCTTTATCATTGGGTCTTCCCACAAACCATGGGCCTACCATTGACGACCTACCGTAGCAGATGAACTACTATCACTAATTTCCATATCTTCTCTTATATACAGTGAGATTTTTTTAAATGCGAACATAGGAGTTTGCATGCAATGTAATTTCACTATGTTCGATTTTAAAAAAACACATCAATCTATGAGGTGTGTGCGGTTCACATTCCCACCAGCAAAACGCGTAACTTGTGTGACTGTGAACAGCAACTCTATATAGTCTTGATGATGAAGAGCGTTCGGTAAGATTTTTTTAAAGAAGCCATGTGAGGCCATAGCAACTTTAGGATAAATTTTCTTAAACTTACAATACCTTAACCTTACAGGGTAGGCGCTGACACCACAACTCATTGTGAACCAACCTTCAATTATTTGTAGGTCATGTGTACCTGGTATTCTACTAATTTGATCTATTCAATACATAAATGAAGAAAATAAGAAAATAAATAACGAAAACCATTACAATAAATGTTCGAAGTGTCCTCCTTGACATTCTAAGCAATAACCTAACCGATTTCGTAATTAAATTGGACGGCGGTATTTTAAAAAATGTGACAGCTGTCAATTGTATCTACTACTCACAATGAACTACTCAATAGATTGATGTGTTTTTTTAAAAATCGAACATAGGGAAATTACATTGCATGCAAACTCCTATGTTCGCATTTTAAAAATTCACTGTATATGCTATTTTCTGCTATTTCCATTTGAGTGCGTGAAGCTTTGGTGCAGTTCGTTCGGAGCAGCTCATTTTGCAAGTTGTTCATTTTGCACACATTTGAATTGACATTCACAGTACGTAAATAACCACAACAGTGTTTAAAGCCCTAAGCAAATAGGTGGTGCGTACGCAAGGTTGCTATATATAATACAGGATTGCTCGATCACTGAATTTTTTTGCCGCGTGTAGTGACGTCACTGGCGGACCCAGACGCACCACATGCTTTGATTTTTCGCCACTTTCATTTGTATTTTATATTATTTAAGATTCTAAGAGCTCCTTCTCACGATGCTGTAGAGTGGAAATTTTCTTTGAAAAAAAGATACGGTTATGCGGAAATTCATTCCTCCCGATGAGAAATTAGCTTTATTTCTCAGATGAGTAAGAACTGAAATTTATTACAAGTCTCTTCTGTACAATTTCTGTTATAATTTTGGAGTTTACCACACCGTGCTACAATGGTTTTTACCACACAATATGAACAGTATCAGTACACAAATATGTACGCTCTTTACCATAGCCTAACAAGAGACCGTGCTCTTTACTAAGGTAAATGATACACATAACACAAGTAAATCAACTCTCCTCAAACTAGACACCATTTTTTAAAAAAACGACGCCCCTTCTTGGTACGTGCGCCTTTGTAGCGTGAGGGCGCTTCTGAAAATCGCTTCGTGCTACTTGTGGCGCTGCAAATCGCACCGTGTGAAGGGGTCACGCTACCAGCCGCTTCAAAAAAACGCCTTGTAAGAAGGGGCTCTAATACGTCCAAATGGATGTTATAGGAAGGTACTTAAATTACAAAAACTTGTCATTCATCGTCTACAAGTCTGCAAATTCGCCTTCGCTTATTCGCACTCAAAATGTCGTGAACCCATTTCATCCTGGGTTTTTGGTTTTTTTGCTCTTCATCATCCATGGAAATTGCAGCTAAATCAGTTTATTTAAACTTTGTGCATCTTAAAATAACGATTTCTCGACGTTCTTCTTGACACTGGCTAAAATGAGCGCCAGTTGAGTGTAAAATATGAATACTACCCCAAATTGTTATTACATTCCAATACTACGTCGGCGTCCAAGCATTTTTGTTGCAAAATAGGGAACACTTATAGACATAGTTTTAACGCTAATGCAAAAACGATCACAACTTAGCAAATTATAACTGTCAATTCTGACAGCCAGGTCCGTTAGTGACGTCAAAACAATCTTTTTTTCGATTGGTGCAATTAAACGCTCTTAACATGGGGGGGGGGGATAACCTGAAAAAACATTTTTCTCATGTTAATTGCGTATGTTTGATTTTGTAATATTCACCAATCACCCGGTATGTGAAAGAGAAGAGGCCTCAATTCAAAATTTAATCGCCGGCGTTATCTCTGGAAAATGTCAAATGGTCAAATTTTGAGGAAAAATGGTATAACAGCGAATTGGTTAAAGTTAAGAGTATGCTATGTTACATAAATAATAAATACCCTACAAGTACTTATTTCAATCCCGCAATAAAAAAAGGGGGCGGAGGGGTCCATTTCAAAAACGGAAGTTTTGCTCGTCCTACATTTTTTCACGATAGCTTTTATCTATGAGGGGGATGCTACACCCTGTGTAAAGTACATATGTACAAGAAGAGCTATTTGCTTACTTACAACTTTTACAAGGAAAAACATGAATTGAATTTGTTGTTAAATTCAATGTAATTAGGATCTATTAATTAACATTCCATATCCGATATAAGTACGTAATATTCGCAACGTAGCGGAAATTCTCAGAGACGCCTACACAGATGTATACCCTTACCGTTAAATGTAATTTAATCCATGTGAATAAGTAAAGGAATGTTATGTTGAGTACATCACGGAAGAGATAATATTACGCATTTCGTGTGTCGAATAGGTAATACGTACGATACGGCTTCATGGGAAAAGCCCCCTATATCTTCTTTACGGAACTAAACAAGCGGTTTACAACTTGCCCATTTACGGTGTCTATCTAGTGTAGTATTATCTTTGGTTTGAGGCTACTCAGCGCCACTAGTGATAGGTATACGAAGCTGAAGTTTTATATATTTCATCGACGCTATCCTGCAGATATATAAAACTTAATTTCTGGATATATTTAAAACTTTGAATGCAAATATATAAAAGTTCTAGATATATTTATTTTATTTTATATATTCGTGAGAAATTATTATGGTACAAATGGCGCCTCATAGTAATTTTTTTAAATTATTCTTAATATTGGTTGCATAATTGCACTGATCACATTTAAAATTCTTGAAGGTAACGTGATAAATGTGACGTTTTTAAACCATCCTTGCTCTTTAAGGTGAAATTACATACATTTGATTGCAAATAAAATTTTTATGGGTGTATTTACTCTTACAGTCGTAAAAAGTATTGATTACTTGTCATTGCAAATAAATAGAATGGCGATTTTATCCCACCAATATTAATTACAATGTGCTGTCACCAGAGGTCGCACTTAACGCGATAAACATTACGAGCGTAGGGATCTGGCTAGACTTTGGTTCATTTTATTTCTGTGTTACTTTATAGCGTTTTCGATTGGCAAAACTCGTGCTGCACGAGTGCAATTTTTACGTTCTATTGGTAATTTTAGGGCAATTTTCTGTGTTCCATTGGCAAATGTGATGCAACAATTACGCACTCAGTGCAAATTTCGACGCACGAGAGCTCGTGGAGCTGCTATAGTTAACAAATTTTCAAAACAAACGTGCGACAATTTGAATTTGTTTCTTGCGTTGGGAGAGTTTTTTGTCGTCATCTAGCGATAGCGAAGATGATGAACTAGCCATAACTTCTATTTTACAAAAAGTTGCACTTACTCATTAAACTGAACGCCAAAAATTGGTCCTTTACAGGAATTTCAAATTTATATTCCTCATCGTTTATCATAAATAATACTGAAATCGTTTATCATTTTTTAGAATAGAGATTTGTCGATTACCTAAATCTAAAATGAGGTTATGGACAAATGACAACAAATATTAACGAATATTTATGTTCCATTGAGAGCAATTTTCACATGGATTTCTTCAGTTTCTCGTGCAACACTCGTTCAGTACGAGTTTTGCCAATCGAAAACGCTATTAGTGTCAATTGTAAGTGCAAAACCTGGCGGATACGTACACAGGTACACTACGTCACAAACACTTAAATTATAAAAAAAAAACTTAAACGATATCCCTCCCGCGTTGGATCTATGATAAGCCATAAGCAGGCACAGTATGTTTGAAGACATCTGTATATGCATAGTTTTACTATGCTGTATATCATTCTCATATGTCTAAAATATGTGTCTATCCCCTGTATAACATGCGTGCCATCAATGGGTCATAACCTTTAAATATTGTATAATTCTATCACGATTTTCTAAGTTTAAAATGTTTTAACTTCTACTACAATTTGATTACATGTATGAATGGCCCATTATTTATAGTTTAAAATAACCTAAACCACTACAGTTTGGTATTGCATAACAGCTATGAGTTTACGAAGGGAGGTACTAATGTTGTTAAATCCTAATGTTAAAGTACACTTAAGAATTATAATAGGTGCTAAAATGCTTTAAAAACCTTCATCGTACTAGGGAAATAGTGTTTAATGGAGATGTAAGAGCTTTACAAAAGGGACGAGAAAAAATAAATGAGGAATTTAAGAAAAACAAAGATGTACAAGAATTAGCTACAATCAATGAAGTACCGCCTATTAACGTATTCTAAATATAATTTAAATTGTATTTTAGTTAATTCGATTTTCTGAGGAGGTTGAGAAAGAGCTAAGAACTACTGTCGTACAAGCAAGAGAAATCAAGCCAGGCGTCTTCCGTAAGTAACCATGTCACTGTTAATTTCTTGTAATGTGTTACATTTCAGAAGCCAATATTAGACCGGATACATTAAAATTAGATAATATACCTTATAAAGATGGTTAAGTTAGTGAACTGTTACATAACATTCTAAAATAAATTGAGTTACCTACCTAAACCATGTCTGCAAAAACCTCCCAAGAGAAAAGATAAATAATTTATTAAACCTTGCGTAACAAGAATAACAAAATTAATATCGGATATATAAAAAATAATGGATTTTTCTACATTTTTGTATATTAGGTATATTTATAACTATGTAGGTATAGATAAAATTGATCTAATTGTTGGCAGCTGCAGATCGTTGGTACCTACAATACAAAGAATTTAAATGCAAAATATGTTCACAAGATAATGATCTTACTGTATAGCCCTGGAGAGCTGGTAAAGTTGGGTTAATGCAACAAAAA